TAGAGCATCCACCTGTCACTGAAACCGAGTTCCTCCATGACATTTGTAAATAGGTTGAACAGCTTCCACAAGGTGCGCATTTGTCCACGACTGAATTGGGCTTCGAAGGACAATTGACGGGTAACCGGAGCGCCCACCGGAAGTGGTAAGAATTCCCGTTCTGGCCAGGTGAGTTTTTCCAAATTTGGAAGTCTTTGACGTTTCTTTTCGGTGCGACCACTGTCCACCACAAAGTTCTGCAATTTTAGCGGTCGACGTCTCAATTGGATAGGGCTTAATGTTAGGAGTGCTTTTGAGGGGATAGTTGGGATATCCAAGAATATATATGAAAGGATCACGAGGGTAGTAACGATGAGGGCTGTGGTGATTTGAAACCTCCTCCACATTGGCATCATTTTGGATGTTTGAGTACTCACTTTTCGTAATTGGCCCTGACTTCCTATACATTTGAAAAGTACAAATTAAACTTAATATACAAGATTTACAAGTGGAAGGAATTAACGCAGCATAAAACTATCAAATCATATTTAATTGCGCAGAAAGGCAGTGAAAGTTTGACTGACATCAGAGCAGGATATGCTTGTGCTTGATAAGTTCAGGAGTTGGCGAATCTTTAGTTTATTGAGCAGGTGAGTCCACTAAATAAAATAAGCTACTAAATTGTTCACTATACAATTGGCGCCATTGATTATTCTTATATGTCGAGAAATCAATATATCCACTTGTCGTAATGTTGGGATTAATCTTCGCCTTGAATGCCTTACTCCGAAATTTAGCAAATATGCATCATCTTCACCACAAAATAAAACATCTGAAGTTCAATTCTGTTACAAAATTAAAACATATTATTTTGTCCTACAAAAGGTTGGCCAGTCAGTGGATATTTAGCAAGCATGTTTTTGTTGGTTTCACATTGGCGGATACACCGCTATTGCGTTTGATGGTTATCACCGAATCTGCACATACAGCGAATCTCTACAGATGCGGCGAAGTTGGTCTAGCCGATGATATAATTGGATGAGAGAGCATAGTCGAGGTAGATGACTTTCGCTTCAGTAAAACTCTGTGCAATACAGCTTGAGTGCATTTAGTCTGCCAAGTCAACGAGTCAGTCGGTGTGATATGGACTTGCACTCAAAAGTTCTGATTGGTCCATTATTAGAAGGATATTAGTTTTCACCTAAACATAGGTTTGTTACAAATGGCTCAGTGATAGACAAGTTTGCAATGAAGATTGCATTATAGACAAAATTGTCTCTGAATAATGGGCAAACTTACGGGAAGGGCAAGTCAGTTAGCTGGACTGGAGTTGTAAAATTTGTGAGTACAACCCGGGCTCTGAGATCACTTTTCTAAACACACGTACATCTGCGACGTCTCCGCACCAATCCAATGAAGTCAAATCCGACCATGTTTAACCAAAAAGCACACATGCACGCAACGATCATTGGCCTTTTGCGTGAAGGCGCTAGAACGGCAACGCTAAGGCTGCCATCGAATACCGCCACAGTTTTTATGCGGTCAGAGGGTGAGCTGAAGTGTGTAAGGTCTTCTCGCTTTACACCATCTGCATAGTATATCTCACCCCTCTTCCTCTTTCCACGTTTTTTTTAATATTCATTTCCGTGTTTTTCGTGATTAAAGATATTTGCCTCGTCAGTGTGTACCACACGGAACTGTGTAGACCACAGGTTTGCGAAAGAGGAAAGTTCTTTCACTGAACTACGCCCAACGTCAGGTGAATAAACATATTGTCCCAGCGATCGAGTCATCTTCTACTTCTCAGTTACTTCCTGGGACTCACATGTTCGCTCGTATTAATAATCGAAAGTGCATTCATATACGTGCTTATAAATGGAGAAAATTGTCAACATGATCTCAGGAATGTTTAACGTTCATTCAACTTCAAGCCAGTAGAAGTACTAACCGAATCAGCTTTGGCGAAAATAGGCTTGCATATCAAACGATGTATGGTTTCAGCAGCCGCTGACACATTTTCTAAATTTAAAATCGACACCATCCTTCAGATATGTTAGAACCACAAAGTCAGGTAATTACATGTAGCATGGACATTCGCGATGTGAGGTATTTGCAAGCGGACTGTTTTAGGAATATTTGTTCAACCATTACAGCTATCGACGTTTAGATTATTAAATAAGTGTTCAAGGGGTTGTGTAAGGATGCAATTAAATATTTTCTTTCAGCCGCTGAGGTCTTTGTATTTCTCTTCACTTTATGCTCGGTAAAATAACATTTAAGCTGAATATAAAGAGTCGATTGGACAAACACATTTTTCACCAACTCTTCAGCAGGCCAGTACATTTGCAGGTATACTGAGAATTGCACAGTCTGGCAGAGTTAATAACTGTAATTTGATTACAACTCATCGTTTTCACGCCGGCCCGCATGGCCGACCCCGACGACGGGCGGCTTTCGCCCATCGGAAGTAAAAGGGCTTCTGTGACAGTCGTTCGC